AACATTATAAGTCTTATCAGATATATTTAAAAAGTGAAATGACAGCCTGCATCTATTTGACTATCATGGATTAAAGCTGGATATCAACAACAACAGAAATAGCAGAAATTATGCAAAGTCACGGAAATCGAACAACTCACTAGAGAATGAAAAATGGATCAAAACAGAATCGAGTTAGAAACTTCAAGTATTGTTTTAATTGGATGAAAATGAAAACACAACATACCCAAACCTAAGGTACACAATGAAGGCAGTTTTAAGATACAAGTTTACTGCACTAAATGACTATCTCATATTTGTAACTTAGGAGCACATCTGAAATCTCTAGAGGAAGAAGGAGGGCGAGGAGAAGGAGGAGAAGGAAGAGGAGGAGGAGGAGGAAGAGAAGGATAATAATGATGATAATGATAATAATAATAATAATAATAAATATTACTCAAAAAGAATAGATGAAAAGAAATAATCAAACCCAGGGCTTAAATCACTGAACTAGAAACAAACAAAAAATTATAAAGAATCAAGGAAACAAAGAGTTGGTTCTTAGAACTCAGAGAAAATCAGTAAAATTGATTGAGCCTTAGCCAAATTAACTAAAATACAATGAGAGAAGATCTTGGGATAACTCTATCCAAGAAAGTAAAAAACCTGTATAATAAAAACTTTAAGGCATTGAAGGAAGAAATTGAAGAGGACACCAGAAGATTGAACTATCTCCCATGCCCATGGATCAGTAGGATGTGAAAATGGCTATCCCACCAAAAGCAATTCTTAATAAAACATAAATTAAAAATCATTTTAGATATTCTGTGTTTATTTTGTGTGTTTCTATACAAAGTTGAATATTTTTTATTTTCAATTTCTGTGAAGAGTTGTTAGAATTTTAATGGAGATTTTGTTGAATGTATAGTACACACCAGAGAAAAGACAGCATTTTTTCCACAAATGGGACTAGTCAAACTGGATGTCTGCATGTAGAAAGAATGGATATAGATTTGTAAATATCACTCTGAAGAAAGCTCCAAATAGATCAAGGTCGTCATCGTAAGATCAGATATCCTGAATCTGATAGTAGAGAAACTAGGATGATAGTCTTGAACTACTGGCACAGAGAAGTTTCTGAATGGGACAATAATAGCACAGGTAGTAAGACCAATTACTAATAAATGGGACCTCATGAAGATGAAAAACTTCTGTATGGTCAAGGATCATATATTTTTCATAATTTTGGCAAAGCAGCAACCTATAGAATGGGGAAATATCTTTGTCAAGATTATCAGATTATACATCCGATACTACCCCTTAGTATTTAAAATATATGAAGAAAAAATGAACATCAAGAAAACAATCCAGTCCAAAAGTGTGGAACAGAACTAAGCAGAGAGCTCTCAAAAGATGAAACGCAATGGTTGAGAAACCCTTAAAGACGTGTTCAACATCTTTAGCCATCAGGGAAATGCAAATTAAAACCACTTCGAGATTTCATTTTAGATTAGTCAGAATGGCCAAGATCAATAAAAGAATGCACATGTTGCTAAGAATGCAGGGAAAGAGGAACACTTATTTATTACTGGTGGGAATGTAAACTTGTCTAGCCACTATGAAAATCAGTGTGGTGGTTTCTCTCAGGAAGCTGGAAATCAATCTACCTCAAGATCCACCTATATCATTCTTGGATATATACCCAAAGGAGTCTATATCCTACTATAGAGATACTTCCTTATCCATGTTCATTGCTCCTGTATTCATAAATAGCTAGAAACTAGAAACAGCTTAGATAGTCTATCAACTGATGAATGGATAGTGAAAATGTCATCCATTTACACAATGGAATATTATTCAGCTATTACAAATGGAACTCACAGGTAAATGGATAGAGCTAGAAAAAAAATCATCCTGAATGCAGTAACATAGATTCCCACAAACAAATATTTTACATTTTGTCTTATATGCAGGGACAACAGAATATATTGTTGTGGAAAGATAACAGGGAAACTAGAAGGATTAAATTGAGATTCGAATAGGAGAGAAGTGTAAGAAAGGGACTATGGGGGAGGGACAAGTACCACTAGAGGACTTTTGAAAAGCCAATGTGGAAACCTACTGTAGAAGTTTCCTAATATACATAAACATACGAAAGGAATCTAAAAGGAATCACTAAATAGTAGGGGAGACAACTAGACATCATATGCCATCCTGTAAGACCTCCAGTGCCAGGGATGGGTGATATCTTGTTGCGTTCTATAGCACCAAAGGGGTCCTATAGAAACCTTCAAGTATCACAGGCTCTTTCAGTACTGCTGATTACTCTCCATAATCTGATGGTAAGGCCCGATTGCTGAAGATAACACCTACTTGTGTCTTCAAACATGGAAGAGTTGAGCTGGTGCCTAACTAGAAGTTTCATCTTTATTGACTAGCTGTCATGCTACTGGAGGCTACTCTGTAAGTTAGCAGGGTAGAAAAGTAATTATTAATGGTATCCAGCAACAAAACCTGTGACTTAGAACAAAGACCTGATGACATGACATATTAGTCGAATAGTGGCACAAATGTTATGGGAGTAACCAACCACTTTGTAATTCCATGAAATAGAAGCCAAACCTACACTGCTAAAGTGGCTAAGAACTTGAAACTAGATAGGTCACAGGTCTAAGGGAAACCTATTATTATTATTCTGCTAAAGGAACCTAGCAATACAATGACTCCTAATGTTGGATGGCTCTATTCATAGATAAGTGTCTTGCTCAATCCACATCAGAGAAGCCTCTTCTTGTAGTAGGTGGGAATTAATTAGAGACCAACAGGTGTACAATGTATAGAGTGTGACAGACATTGGAGCATTAGTCCTAGATGGGACGTTTTAATCAAACCCCTCCCCTCAAGGCTCAGGGAGGAATGAGGAAGAGGAGGCAGAAAGATTGTAAGAGACAGAGGTAATGGATGAATACAAGGAAACAGTGACTTCGAGACACAATAGGACTGATATGCATACGAACTCATGCAGACAGTGTTGGCGCACACAAGATTTGCAAAGGTTCAAGCCAGGAGCCCCAGCATTGAGAGGGAGGAAGTGAGCATGGGCTCCCACCCTCTAAGCAAGAAGATACGCAGTCAATAAGCCCGGCAAAGGGACAATCAGTTTTCTCCAATGCAATCTCACTGGGTTTATCAATCACACTTCAGGGCAGGCCTCATACTCCGGAGTTATTGGCCAACACAAAATGAACTCAGTGGTATCTTTGTTGACTTTGTTTCATTTTGCTTTGTTTTGGCTTTCTTTTTCTTTTTGGACTTGATTCTGGATTTGTTTGATTTCCATTTTTGTATTTCTTACTTTTGTTTTTGTTTCATGAAAGGAGGAGAAAAAAACATGAAGTTGGATGAGTAGGGAGATGGGGAGGATCTGAGAGGAACTGGAGAGTGGGAAAACACCATCAAAACATGTTATATGAAACATTTTTTCAATTGAAATCCTTTTAAAAAGGGAAAGTGACATTTAACAACAGAAATGCCTGGTACAATCATCAGGCATTCATAATACTTTCTGTTAAATATGTGGATGATGGTAGTGTCCTTGCCTGATTAAAACTTCCCAAATGACAGTGACTTTCATTCTTGCAGTTTTTGGCAGGTTCGTATTTTCTACTACTATTTTGTTTTTAAAAATCTGACTTTGAAATTATATGAAATTAATCTTTTCACATAATTCTTTGAACATTTTATGCATTCATATAATATATTTTGGTCACATGTATCCACCCTTCTCAACTTCTTATTCTCCTTTTGTTCTTTAAAAAAAACTTATAATCCACTGTGTTCAACTATACTGTCCATACATGTGTGGGTACTGGGTCATCTACTGGGGCATGGTTGAACAGAGGGGGTCCAATACTTAAAGGAAACTGACACTCCCTTTCCTAGCAGCAATCGTCAACAGCTCCTTTTAAGCCCTGTCCCCTATTGGGGCATTTATCTTAGGGGTGCAGCCACATATTTTCATATTCATATGTTTTTATCACCTAAATAAAAAATGCAAAGCCAGTACTGCAGGGATTCCATTCTGTTCCTTCCCAGTCAATACCCTTCTCCTAGGAAACCACCTTTCTCACTTCAACCACTATAAATTAATGTTGAGCTGCACAGAAAACCTCACATTTCATAACCGCGGCCCTTTTTCAACTTTCTATTGACAGAAGAAATAACATGTCAAAATAGTTCGGCGTGATAGACATGTTTTTCCTTAATAATACATTACAATATGTAACTATCAAAAAGAAGTTTCTTCTTGTACCAATTAATGTAATCTCTTGGGTCACCATTGGCACATGTCCATACTTTGTTTCTCCAAAGCCACTAGATGATTTCTGGAGTCCATGGCAACTCAGAGGCAGTGATCTTGTGGTGATCAAATGGCTCAAAGTCACAGGATACACTGCAACAATCTTCATCCCGTCAACGGTTCATTCACCTATCCAACACACCCGAGTACTTTGTGTCACTCTAAGAAGACTCCACTGAGTCTTAGAGTCAACGTGTGGTAAGAGCTCCGACTTAGGTAAGCATCAGGCGCACAGAGGAAGGGTGGCTTCCGGAGATGGGGCGGATAGGAGAAGGTGGGTGGGCATTTCCCTAGCAGCTGCTGCCAGCCACCCGACTTTGATCACTTTGCCGCCTGGCAGCAGCGGCGGACAACCTCATCGTTCCTTAGCAACCAGAGCCAACTGCCAAGAAGCTTTCCTATTGGGCTAACAGAATGTGAAGGGCAGTCTAGCTGTCCAATAGAAACTTTTAGACTTGGCTTGTAGCTCCGCCCACCCCGGGCCGCAGGCGGCGCATGCGCGGGTGGGCAGGGCTGTGTGCAGGGCGGTCGCGGAGCTGGAGCTGCTGCTGCTAAGCGCTTGGGCTCGGTCGAGACCGCCGTGCTTGCTCCTTGCTCCAGCCGTCACCGCCGCCGAGGGAGCGGCCGCTATTGTCTTTCTCCGCGGCCAAGGCGCAGAGCTGCTCCGGCTCGGCCCGCGGGGGAGCCCGGGGAGCCGCACGGTGAGAGCGCAACTTAGTTGAGGGAGTTGAGGGAAGTTTGGGCGTCTGAGGAGGGGGCGCGCGCGCAGACGCCCCTCCCCCTCGGCTGCTCTCGGCCGCGCGCGCGAGCTGCGGGACGCGGAGGCGCGCGGGCGCGACGCGGGTGGCGGACCCTTCTTTGCATCGGCAGCCAGGGGTGGGTGGCGCGGCCGCAGATCCCGGCCTCCTCCGACCCTGTTCCCCTGCTGCCAGCTTCTGTGGCGCCTGCTGCGGCTCTCCTCTGAGGGACGGCTGCTCGGTGGGACGCGCCGCTCGGACAGTGTGCGGCCGCGGGAACGAGCAGCTCCCCGGGGCACTTGAGCAGGGTAAACACCGCGCGCCCCGGCCACCTTTGGGGGCTTTTCCGCGCTTTCTTCCCCCCCCCCCCCCCCCCCGGGGGGGGCGCGGTCGGGACTCGGGGTATGGTAGCTCCTTCTGCTCCCCTGCCACCGAGCGGTAGTGCAAGCACTTTGAGAACTAACGAATCTCTGCTTTTCGTAAATAGGCTCGCTGACACTTAACTGAGAGTGCGAGACGCACCCTCAGTTTATTTCTCGCTAAGAAAGTGTCTATCTTTCGGCTGAAATAATTGGGTCACTTTAAATGTCTAGACCCTACTGAGAACTCAGGAGTTCACAATGAAAATGGATTGAGCAATCTTTTAGTGTTTCAGTCTTTGCTTTTCCACTTCATACTGAAGTGATTTTGAGAGTTAACTTGCCTGGGGCAGATTTATAAAGTGATGTGCCTTTTGGTTTGCTTGCTTGTTTGGTTGGTTTTTTGTTACTACCCTCATGATTTCCAAAAGTCATTTAATCATTTTTTTTCCCCCTAAACCTTTGGATTGCCCGGGTCAGAAGCGCTCCAGTTCTTGTCTGTAAAGAAGTTCCTATCTGTCGAGATGACTCTGAGATAAACCATTGTCACTTTGTACACCTTCTTGGGGACTTACAAACTGCTTTAAACATTTGCGTTCTCAAGTTTTTGGTGGAGTCATTCCACTGTATTTCGATGACTGGACTTGCTCTATGATGGTAATTCAGTTTTAGTTCCCGAGAAGAACGAGCTTAAGTATCATTCATACTGAAACACAATGGTCCGTCACTTCATGTTAATTTCAGTTGTATTTCTTTGACTTCTGTTAAACTTAAAATTTTCTTTGACGGCTACTGCAAATGACATTTTGCTTTGTTTTCTATGTGAATGACACGGAGAAGTAGTGTCCTGGTTTTTTGTTTGGTTTTTGGCTTTTCTTTATATGAAACCCAGCTTCGTTTACCTGATGAAACCAAGGGAAAATATTCTGAAGACACAGGGATTTGAGACTCACAATCTTTGTGCTTAATTTTCCTTTCCGGGGTGGGTGTGGTGAGCGAAGGAGGCGGACAGAAGTTGGAAGTTATTGGTTAGTTACATAATATAAACAAATTCTGCCTGCAAAATCGGGTGACCCTGACACCATTTGCTTTCCTTCTCTGGACTGTGATAACGTGTTACTCATACTTTTGTTCTGGGGTTCCTTAGAATGTATTTGCTTCACTAAATGGGAACTATATGTATTATAAATGGTCTTTTCTAGTCTTTTTATTCCTAAAGGACTATGATGGGTGGTATTTTGCTATGCTCTGTTTTTTTTTTTTTTCTAGAAAAGTCCACATGGTTGGTGTTTAGCTTTTGTTTGATTTGGGTGAAGTGATTTTCACTGGCTACTGATAGTGTACACAGGAGAGACCCATTAATTCTCGGGCCTTGAACAAAATGATAATTAGTTTGCACATCTGTGGTGAAATTTAGTTTAGGAGACTTTGTTAAGTCTTCTCTCTGGAGATAGGGTCTTATTATGTAGCTCAGGTTGGTCTTAAATTTACAGAGATCTATCTGCCTCCTGCATACTGGCATTAAGAGCCTACCACCCCACCCCACCCCACCCCGTGTGTGTGTGTGTGTGTGTGTGTGTTTGCCTTGTAGTGTATGCTAGCTTTGAGCTCAAGGCTTCTTTGCCTCGGTTTCCTTAGGCTAGATAACATGTGTGTATCACTTTCCCCAGCATTAAAAACTCTTTAATTTGCTGATTTGTTCTAGAAAATAACTGGGGTTTAAAGAGTACACTGTGGATTTCCAAAAAGAAAAAAAAAAGTTGCAATTTTGAAATCCATCCCTCACACTCTCCCTTGCTGAGACTCTTAAACTGCAGAACAGATTTGTTCATGGCTCTTTGTTCATGGCCATTCCTTTATTGTGAAACTGAGAGGGAGTATAGCTTAGAAGAAATTCACTGTTTGGAGTTATGCAAATTTGAGTTTAGATTCTCACCTTTCCTTTGACGGTTTTGAAGCCTTGAGCATTGCACTTAACTCTGGAGCTTGTTTCTTTCCTTGTAAGGGATAGTAATATTACATGTTCTTAGGAATGCATGAAATTGTCTAAGAGACTTAGTACACTCTCCAATATTCTGCTTCCTGGTGGCTAAAAAGGTAATTTTGATAGGGTTTTACATGGTTTTTAAAAAGTGATTTTAAAGTGATGCTTCTGGACAGAAGATGGTTCATTTGCACTTGCCACCCAGCCTGATGTCCCAAGTTCAGGTCCCACACCCCCACGTAGCAGAGAGAGAGAGAGAGAGAGAGAGAGAGAGAGAGAGAGAGAGAGAGA